CCTGCTGGGCTCAGGTGATCCTTCCACCTCAGTCTTCCAGGTTACTGGAACTACAGGTCCAAGCCACCATGCTTGGCTAATTTTTTATTGTAGAAACGAGGTCTCATCATGTTGCCCAGGCTGGTCTCGAACCCCTGAGCTCAGATAATCCTCTCACTTCCACCTCCCAAAGTGCTGGGATGAAAGGCATGAGCCACTGCACCCGGCTGCCTTGGACTTTAAAAACTGAAGTCTGGGTAGGGTTTGGTGGCTCAGCCTGTCATCCCAGCACTTTGGGAGGCCAAGGCAAGTGAACTGCCTGAGCCTGCAGGTTTGAGACCAGCCCGAGAAAATTGATGAGACTTTGTCTCTGCAATAAATCATATCTGGGCATGATAGCGCACACCTGTAGTTCTGGCTACTTTGAAGGTGAGGCGGAAGGATCACCGGGACCCAGTAGGTTGACGCTGGGGCAGTCATGAGTGTGTGCCACTACACTCCAGCCTGGGTGATGGAATAAGAGTCCAAAAAAAAACCCCAAAAAACTTTTATTATCTACTGTTATTTAGTTGGTATCAGTCAGGACTTTTTTCAACATTGCATAATCAAAGCAAAGGAATGAGTAGACAGAAGAAGCAGTAGACAGAAGACTGCCACCATCACCCATAACTCCCAATTTCACATGTGCATATCAAAATAGCATCGTTCTATCACTCATTATTTTTATATACAGAATAAGTTTTAAAAGTTCTAAGTCTAAAACTTTAGCATACATTTGTGCTGATAAAATGCCACTTTAGCTCACACATGTATGTAATCCCAGTATCTTGGAAGGCAGAGGTGAGAGGATTGCTTGAACCCAGGAGTTCGAGATCAGCCTGGGCAACTTGGTGAGACCTTGTCTCTACAAAAATTAAAAAAAATTAGCCAGGCGTGGTGGCATGTGCTTGTGGTTCCAGCTACTTGGAAGGCTGAAGCAGAAGGATCACCTGAGCCCAGCAAGTCGAGGCTGCGATGGCTGTAAACATGCCACTGCACTCCAGCCTGGACAACTGAGTGAGATTCCAACAACAACAACAACAAGCCAGTTTAATTATTTGACATTGGCGTTCCATGAAAATTTCATTTGATCAGTAGTTCTCCTGCTAAAAATGTCTCATCATCATTGGTCTACAAAGTGCAAAAGGCCCACTACAAGGAAACATCTTGATTATGAAGTAAAATAAGTTTTTAAGGTGGTGGTAGCTTGAGAATGTTTAAAGTTGACAGGGTTAAATTTACACAGCAGGCTGGGCTCAGTGGCTCAGCCTGTAATCCCACATTTTGGGAGGCCGAGGAGAGTGAATTGCCTGAGCCCACGGGTTCAAGACCCACCTGGGCAACTTGGCAAGACCTCATCTCTACAATAAATAAAAAAAATTAACCGGGCATGATGGCGCATGTTCCAGTTCCAGTTACTTGGAAGGGTGAGGCGGAAGGATCACTGGAGCCCAGCAGGTCGAGGCTGCAGTGGCCGGGAGTGTACCACTGCCCTCTAGCCTGGGTGACAGTGAGACTCCAACTAAAAAAAAAAACAAACAAAAAAACACAGCAAAATTTATACTTTTACATAAAGAAAGTATATAATCCTCCCTCGGGTAAAATTAAAATGCAACTTACTTCCAAAATCATGAATCACTTTTATAATAAATACTGGTTCATTAATGTAAGAGTTCAAAACGAAACAGGTTATCCACATTACGCAGTTTGTGGCCACCTAAAAATTTCCTTTGTGAGAAGTAAACAGAGTAGAAAGATAGGATTCAGAGCCAAAGATGAACAACCAGCTCACCGGAGTAACAGAAATAAAAGGAATAAAATGGAATAGTGCATGTGGATTTAGCAAGCTAGTATACAAGCGAGGGTTAATATCTCTAGGTTGTATTTCCTTTCCCTGGGCAACATTATGGTCTCAGTGTCACAGAGGCACTAAATGTAATCAGTGTGCAACTATTTTACAGGGTCTGAAGTAGTCACACCAATGTAAAGAATTAACATTCAAACTCTCAAGCCTTTCTCAGTTATTCCAATGATATATAACTATGCAAACGACATATGCTAATCAAAAGGAAACTGATCACAGTCAACTATTTCATACAGTAACAAAAATGAAATTTTGTTTTTTCATTGTTCATAAATGAAATATGATGATGTGCAGTTAGCAGTAGCTTGAGGCTGGGTGCAGTGGCTCATACCTGTAATCCCTGCACTTTGGGAGGCTGAGGCGAGAGCACTGCCTTAACTCAGTGGTTTGAGACCAGCCTGAGCAACATGGTAAGACCCCATCTCTACAATAAATCAAAAAGTCAGCTGGGCGGGGTGGTGCATGCCTGTGGTTCTGGCTACTTGGAAGGCTGAGTGGAAGGATCATCTGAGCCCAGCAGATCAAGGCTGCAGTGGCTGTGAGTGTGCCACTGCACTCTGGCCTGGGCAACAGAGTGAGACTCCGACTCAAAAAACCAAACCAAAACAAAAAACAAACAAAAACAGTAGCTTGGAAAATCTTCTGGAAGTTCTTGATGTATTTTTTATTATAACAGTTAACAGCAAAGTCTTCCAAAGATGTTTTATGATTACAACATGGCAAGCAACTGTTTATGAGGCCAGGGAAGATACGCTAAAAGCTAATGAATTATTACAATTAAATATGTACAGCTTATTGACATTTCTCTTGAAGCAGTCAGAGTCAGGGGCACATCCACTGATTTCCAGGTATTCTGGTACCTCCTCTGTTACCAACAGCATTCAAATTTTGAAACTAATGTGATCTTGAAGATATTGTCTAAGTTTTAGAGGGTTTTTGTTTTTCTTTTAGCCACTAGATTTTTCAGGAAAAATTCACCTGTTTGAGGGGAAAAAAACACATTAATACAAATATAAAGTAAATAATAGTAAGACTTCTATTTCAGAATTATAGTTTCCCCTTTAAAGAAGACTTTTTGGCTGGGCTCAGTGGCTAAGTCTGTAATCCCAGCACTTTGGGAGATCGAGGCAAGTGGATTGCCTGAGCTCGTGGGTTTGAGACCAGTCCAGGCAATTTGATGAGACCCTGTCTCTACAATAAATTAAATATTAGCCAGGTGTGGTAGCATGTGCCTGTAGTTCCAGTTACTTGGAAGGCTGAGGCAGAAGGATCAACGGAACCCAGCAGGTCGACGCTGGGGTGGCCGTGAGCGTGCCATGCACTTCAGCCTGGGTGATGGAGTGAGACTACAACTCAAAAAAAAAGACTTTAGTATTTAGGGGCACTTCTCAAATCTCAATGGTAATATTTTTCTAATCTAAATATCACCTGTAGGCTGGGTGTAGTGGCTCACACCTGTAATCACAGCACTTTGGGAGGTGAAGGCGAAAGGATTGCCTGAGTCCAGGGGTTCAAGACCAGCCTGGGCAACTTGGTGAGACCTCATCTCTACAATAAATCAAAAAATTAGCCGGTTGTGGTAGCGCACGCCTGTACTTCCAGTTACTGGGAAGGCTGAGGAGAGGGGATCACCTGAGCACAGCAGGTCGAGGCTGCCGTGGCTGTAAGCACGCCACTGCACTCCAGCTTGGGTGACAGAGTGAGACTCCGACTCAAAGTAAATACATACATACATACATACATACATACATATCACCTGTATCTTTGCCCCTATTCTTTTTTTTAGAATTTTGTTTTTGTTTTTTTTTTTTTGAGTTGAAGTCTCACTCTGTCGCCCAGACTAGAGTGCAGTGGCCGCTCCTGGCCACCGCAACCTCGACTTGCTGGGCTCCAGCGATATTTTGCTTCAGCCTTCTGAGTAGCCAGAATTACAGGTGTGTGCTACCACACCTGGCTAATTTTTTGATTTATTATAGAGATGAGGTCTCGCCTGCCCAGGCGGTTCTCGGACCCACGGGCTCAGGCAATCCACTCACCTCAGCCTCCCAAAGGCACGGGATTATCAGCTGAGCCACCGAGCCTGGCTTTTTTAGAATTTTTAATCACTGTAGTCTCTACTCTTATTCTTTCAGGTAACCCAGTATTATAAGTGTGACCCTTCTGTATCTCCAGGTCTACCCATGGACGTTTATCTCACTTTATGTGCACTGCCAAAGTATGGCTGTTGGCAACATTCATTTCCAAGAGCACCTCTGCTATATTCTTAGCCTGGAACTGATGCTTATAAAAGAGACCTCACTGCAGTTGAACAGACTCATCTTATGGGATCTCTTTAGCTCATTCCCCTCTAGGGAATCAAGAGCTCTTCATCTGCCCTGGGCCTTCTCCCCACTCCCTGAGTTGTGCCTACATAATATGTTAGCTGCTTTAAAGGGGTACATTTGTTCTTTAGGCCATTAGGGCTCCATTTGGTCTGTCACAGTTACAGTATAGCTCAGTGCTTATAGGCATGCTTAGCATTGGAGGTCTTATATTACAAGAAGTCTGATTATTATATGAGTCCTTTTTGTCATCTTATATATATGAGTAGGACTGTGATAATCACATCTGTACATTGTCACTAAGATCCCAGGGCTCATACCCCAGCCTAGGAATCCATGCTGCCACACACCTCATCTAAATCTGGTAGGAGCAGAACCAACATGACCAGACCCTAATCCATCATCTGAGTCTGATGCCCACAAACCAGAATCTTTTGCTGGTAATTTTAAAAACATCAAGAAGTTCATAATTCCCTTCATTATAAGTGTTAGACATTTTCTTTAAAAAAAAAAGAAAGGAAACAATAAAAATGTCTTTCAAAGGTTATTCCTTTACTCTAGGCAAGCCAGAAGCTGCTATTGGCTCCATCCTTAACCTACATTTGTAGATTGCCAGCAGTGCTGCTTGAACACTAATCTGCTATAATTATTGGTGTTCAAAGATCCCCCATCCAGTCAGTCAGTGTGAATCAAATTCTTGGGCTTTAAAATGAGGATAAGCTATTAGTTCATTAAAGTATCTTAAATTTTGTTGCCAGGTACAGTGGCTCACATCTGTAATCCCAGCACTTTGGGAGGCAGAGGACAGCAGATTGCCTGAGCCCCGGGGTTCAGGACCAGCCTAGGCAACCTGGCAAGACCTTGTCTCTACATTAAATAAACAAAAAAATTTAGCTGGGCTCGGTGGCACGGGCCTGTAGTTCCAGCTGTTTGGAAGGCTGAGGGAGGAAAATCACCTGAGCCCAGCAGGTTGAGGCTGCGGTGGCTGTAAGCATGTTACTGCACTCCAGTCTGGGTGACAGAGTGAGACCCCCCCAACTCAAAATAAATAAATAAATAAAATAAAGTGTCTGAAATTTTTTTTAACAGAAATACAGTGAATGTTACTAATACTTGAACATTAATTTTTTTCAAATAGAATTTGTCTAATTTAAACATATCTATAATTTAGAACTCAGTATATAAGGCAATATATTTTTAGAAATAATTAATAGTTGAAACATATTTTATTTTATTTATTTATTTATTTTTTGAGTTGGAGTCTCACTCTGTCGCCCAGACTGGAGTGCAGTGGCCACTCCCAGCCACCACAGCCTCGACTTGCTGGGCTCCGGCGATATTTCGCTTCAGCCTTCCAAGTAGCTGGAACTACAGGTGTGCGCTACCACGCCCAGCTGATTTTTGATTTATTGTAGAGATGAGGTCTCGCCAAGTTGCACAGTCGGGTCTCGAACCCGTGGGCTCAGGCAATCCACTCACCTCAGCTTTCCAAAGGTACAGGATTACAGGCTGAGCCACTGAGCCCGGCAGAAACATATTTTAGATATATCCAAAAACAGTGAGCTGTTTCATTCTTTTTTTTTTTTAAGGAGACAGAATCGGCCAGGCTCAGTGGCTCAGCCTGTAATCCCAGTGCTTTGGGAGGCCAAGGTGAGCGGATTGCCTGAGCCCACAGGTTTGAGACCCACCTGGGCAACTTGGCGAGACC